TGTGTAATGTAGATATTAAAGTCTCTTTGAATAAGTGATTGAAAGTTTAAGGTTATAATATTCTGAACACAACATAGTCAGCATTCAAATGAATGCACTACTTATTTCTAGTGCTAGGCTGTCGACTGGTGGGCCTGATATAGTCAGACTTGAATGCATCTTCAGCCATGTATTAGCTGTGTAATGTTGGTTCATTGCTTGGCATTATGATGAGCATGGTCATTCTACCTAAGTATATCTCATATCTTGCAGTAGCAGAGATATGGTATTCATTCATTAGTTTATTTATTCCACAAACTATTACTGAATGGTAAATGGCAAGATGAAGAGATCTGAAGTGGAATGAGCCACAATTCCTGCACCCAAATAGCTGATAATCAAATGTTGCTTTAATTTCAAGAGAACTGTTTCATGGTGGGTGTGTGTGGGGCTGTGTGTGTGTGGGGGGGTGTGTATATGTGTATGTGTATTGACAGAGGAAATTACCTAGATGTATTCTAGAAGCTTTTTTCTTTTTTTTTCTTGTTTTGGCAGGCTGCCCACGGTATTATAGAAGCTTTTTAAATGTGTTTATATGTCTCTTTGTTATAATGGATTCATATTGCTGGGTTGGTCTTTCAAATAGGCAGAATAACAAATGACTTGAGCAGGGACAAGATGTCTAAGTAATCAAACATACTTCTTTTATTACTAATACCCATGGTACCTAAATACTTCCCATTAAAATTATACCTTCAGATTGAGTCTGTATTACCAGAATAATCTGTAAAACACAGATTTCAAGGAAACAAGTATCATCCTTCAGTACATAACAGGGGTCATTAAATTGAATTCACTCATTCATTATATTTTCAATATACATTGGGTTTCTAGTATATGATAAACACTGTACTGAACACTGGAAATAAAATCGTGATTAAGATAAACACAGTCTTATGGAGCTTGGGGTCCAGTGGGGGGAAATAGTTATCAATCTGGAAAACGTGTAAGTGAATATAAAAGTGCTACTGTGTTGAGTGTTTGGAAGGGAAGCCATTGGCTTCAGTAAGAGTGTACTCCAGGAAATCTGGCCCACTCAGAGGTTGGAGAAGCTTCCCTGGGCAAAGGAAGATTGAACCAAGATCTGAAGTATAAAAAAATAGACAATGAGTTGAAAAGTCTCCAGGCAAGAAAATTCAGATCCTTCTAGTGGAAGAAAGCCAACTGAAGAGGTAGAAAGGGCTTAGACGACGTGGAGTCTTAAATGTAATGTGAAGGATATTTATATATCCTGACCATGTTTTGAAAGCGCTAAAATGACATGATCAGATTATAATTTCCACATCAAAAATTGTATAAATGGTGGAGAACAGGAAAAATAGTTTTATTTGGAAGGAAGAGGAAAGGGTCTCTAGGAAAAGAAGAAAATCGAGAAATTTATGGTACTGTCCAGTACGACATGCTAAATAGAAATACTTTAAGGTAGAAAAAGGTTAGTGAAAATGCTATTTTTTTTCATGTGTTTAACCTAAATGTATATATTTTTTAGCCCTGCAGCTACTGCTGTGATATCCCTGGCATTTGGACGCTACATTCTGGAACCATTTTTTATTCAATGTGAAATTCCTGAACTTGCAATCAAGCTCATTACAGCTGTGGGCATAAGTGAGTATTGTAGGTATAAGTGTCAAAAAGAAAATAATAATACAAAAGTGATTGGAGACAAAGTTTCTTTAAACTTTTTGCACAGTGGGACCGCTCCACATACTGTCTTTTCTTTGCTTACAGTTCCAAATTTGTGTTGGAAGATAAAGAAAAGAATATACATTTGAAGTAGCCTCTGATATTACATTACATGCTAGTTTTGCATGGGTCAAAAGACAGAATGGTCTATGGGTCAAGGAGAAAGTTCCTCTTTGCTTTCTGAAGGTTTGCTGAAAAGTCAACTCACAAAAGGCAGATTAATTGGAGAAAAGCTATACAAAATTAATTTAATGTGTCTACGTAGAAGCCTTCAGAATGAAGACCCAAAGATACAGGGGAAATTATGCTTAGGCTCAACAAAGTATGGACAGCAGTATAAAAATACGATTAGATAAAAAGTATATGATCTTGTGCTAACATACTAAGTGAGAAACTCAGCAAGCCTTGTCTGTCTAGATTCTTCTTGGCCTTTCTCAGCATATATTCTTTTCTCCTGGGTCTGGGGCAGGACCCTCTCTGTAATGAGGGTCTTATGATCTACAGTCAAACAAGGTAGCCCAGATAAATTTTTTTGGCCATTTTTTTACACAGAAAAGCAGATGGAAAGTTAGAGTAATATTTTTAAGTTTTATGGCTGGCTTTGGGGGAAAAGGGACTCTGGTTTCTATGACCTGCCTTAGGGAAGAGGGAATCTAGTTTCCATGGCTAGCCTCAGGGGAGAATGAGACTGAGAGGCAGATGGGCAGGAGAAAGTCAGAGAAAAACTTTTGCTTCTGAGGCTTCATTTTGGGGTATTGTTTTCTGAGTGCCAAGAATAGCTAATTTTTAAAATAGGCAAACAAAACCCACCTCGTTAATAAAATATTGAGTGGATTGTACATAAAGGAGACTTTTAAAGATGAAAACCCAATTATTTTATGGATTATTAGAATTGGAAATTATTTTACCTCAGTCATACATTAAATTATAACTCATGTATCATGATGGAGTTATGTTTATGTGTTGGGTGTGTATCTCGTGTTCATACATTTTACAGTGTTAGCTAGCAGCTGTCACTTTCAGTGTTATAGTTTTAGCTGTGTGTTGTTGGTCATAAGAGTTTTCTTTCAAGATTTAATTATTAGTAGCATTTCTCAACCAGGAGATTTCTTTGTGGCCTCCAAATTAGGAAGTTGTTCATCTTTTATCAATGGGTGCAGATATTAGAAATTGAAAAAAAAAGAAAAGAAGAGAAAAAGAGGAACATATACCAAATTACACCAGTGATGAACCCAAATGTAACTCCAACTTCCTACAGGACTCCAGATACCAAATCCCTGACTGTTATGGGAAAGGACAACTTAATTCTAGATGCTATTCAAATCATTGTTTTAAGAATCAATATGATCATATTGGATTAAGTTTTAACTACTCAGAAATAGCTACACAGGAATAACTGAAATGCATACTCATGAAAGAATTTTTAGTTATGTATTGCTAAGGTATTTCAACAGAACAATGGAAAGAACAATGCGCATTTGACAATAGAGAGGCGAGGGGTAAGTTTTCAGAAAAGCATTAGGAATTACACATAAAAACATCTCTAGTGCTAGGTACATATATTTCTGGACTTAAATAGGTTCATTTTGGATTTCCTGCTTTATTCACCAAATGTATGCACAATTGTTCTGTGAAAGCTATGAAAACTCAAAGAAAAATACTCAAAGTTGACCTTTCTGGGTTCTGGAAAGGTACTGATGTACTTGATTCAATTTGCCTTTAACAAAACCTACAGATATGATACCTGGGGGCAAATCACTTAACATTTCTGTACCTTCCTATTCTTATCTGTAAATCATGCCAGTATTATAGGTCATTATAAGGATTAAATGATATTAAATGAGACAATATATGTAAATTGAAGCTGACTATAATTTATTTAGAACATAATACCAATGATAGCTATTTACACTTTTTGGAAAAACATCATTTGATGTTCCATGAGACTAGGAACCTATCCATTGCTGTATTTCTAGCCCCTCAAAAATCTCCTAGGATGTTGTTTGTGCACCATAATTATTCATTTACTGACTGGTTTTATGAGAAGAGGTCTAAGAATTTTTTCTATAGCAGAAAAGTTCATAGTTTGTTTACTTGTTGAACTTGGAGGCTTAGATAGCTTCAGTTTTCTCAAGTAGTAGGAGAATTTGCTCAGTGATGATGTTCAGATCTGGTGCCATGAATTTTTTTTTTTTTTTTTTTTTGAGACAGAGTCTCACTCTGTTGTCCGGGCTAGACTGAGTGCCGTGGCGTCATCCTAGCTCACAGCAACCTCAAACTCCTGGGCTCAAGCGATCCTACTGCCTCAGCCTCCCGAGTAGCTGGGACTACAGGCATGTGCCACCATGCCCGGCTAATTTTTCTATATATTTTTAGTTGTCCAATTAATTTCTTTCTATTTTTAGTAGAGACGGGGTCTCGCTCTTGCTCAGGCTGGTTTCGAACTCCTGAGCTCAAACAATCTGCCCGCCTCGGCCTCCCAGAGAGCTAGGATTACAGGCGTGAGCCACCGCTCCCAGCCTGGTGCCATGAATTTTTGTAGGATGAACCATTTTAGCATAGTGATTATAGTTCAGGCTCTGAAGGCAAAACCTGGAATTGAAACTTAGTTTCATAATTTCTTAGTAATATGATCTTGGACTAATTGTTAAAACTCTTTAAGCCTCGGTTTTATTTGTTGGTAAAATGCCCGTGAAAATATAATCTACCTTAAATGGGTGTAGAAAGATGAAATTAAGTCGGATTTTTAATGCCCTTAACAGAATGGCTTGGCCACAGAAAGTTCTTGATAACTATGGTGTTCCATAAGGGATTGGACTAACAGCCATTATTATATCCACCATATTCTTGCTTCTTGAATACCCGAGTTAGAACTATTAATATATTCACAACTATTACATTAAAAAATGAGAAGGGCAGAGGTAGCATTTTGGGGAGCTCTGTGAGTTAACAACAGAAGTTATTCATTAAAAGGTACAATCAGAAGACTTTAAGTAGATCCTATATAAAGATTTACAAATCCATAAATTTTGCCCACTTTGGACTTGAAATTAGATGGATTATAATCATATATTTTTTATAAGTCTAAATGTCTTCTTATTTATCTCAATTCTATTAAACATTTTAAAGGGAAAATTTGTATTTTAGAGGATTAAATGGAATACTGTTCAAACCAAACTCTAAAGCAACTATGGGAAAGGATAACTAAGCATGTTGGGTTTTATAAAACATCTGGAATACACCGGTCATGGAATAGTTACCAGATAGCCTGAGTAAATCTTAGATGAACCCAGACATTTCCTTCTATTTTTGCCACTAGTTATAACAGTTTATAAATTTTGATGTTCCTTTTGCAAGCCGGAGATTCTGAGAAGGAAATGTGTTTCATAGTCAGAAGCTCTGAAAAAGAAACCTGGATATTCTTATGACTCAGTGGTAGGAAATGTAAATCAATGGCCTAATTGGGAAAGTCAAACTGTCTTTAAGAAGAATTTAGCTTCCATGGAGCAAAGGGAGCAGATGGAGAGAGAGAAGGAGAAATTTACCTAGGGGCAAATTTCTCACATCCTGCACTCTTCAAAGTGAGTATAGGTGATTTTTCTACCTATTAGGGGTGGAAGGTTACTGAGATGTAGAAAATAGAGTTTAATTGTATGAATTGCTTCCCTGTAATCCTTGGGGAAGGAAACAGTTTGTGGTAGTGTGAAATCTCTAGTTAAGTGTAGAAAAAGCACAAACCTGAAGGGTCTTGTTAAATCATAGAACAGAATTTCAAATTTTGTGAAATGTTAACCAACCATTTGAGGGATGACAATGGGCTGAGGGTGGGGAGTTAACTAAATGCTGATTTAACCCCAGTTTTTAAAGTACTATACCTCATTTCTGTCAAATTAATAAAAACGAAAAGCTTTTGCTTATCCCAAACACTCTCCATTCTGGTAAACATGTCAGACTCATGAGAGTTTAGCTAGAAAATCTTATATATTCACATTTGGCTGCTCTCCTATACCCTGGTACTGACATTACTCACTTTTCCTTCTGTGGAAGCTCATGGATTTTCACTGCTCTTGTGGCTTCAATCAGAATAGAAGTATATTCAGTATTTAAAATATTTAGTCTGTTCTGTTCTCCTGAAACTCAAACCTGTATAAGGATACACTAGAATGGCAGACTATGATAATAAGATACTTTCCTTAAGATATGAGATCTAGTCCCAGATCAATCCCTTCCTTGCTGCTTTATTTTATACAGATAAGTTAAGAGCCCTATCCTACTTTCCAAGACTTGTAGGAGTAACTGGGAGAAACAAACAAAATAGCATTTGTGATTGCATTGTGAAAAAAAATTAGCCAGTTCTACAAATATATTTTAAATGTATATTTTCTTGGCACCACTAAATTACATGAAAGAAAATGCAATGCTATTTCTGTGTTAGCATTTCAAATATAGCACGTGAAGTGGCTCCATTTAAATCTTCTGAAGTCTGGCTATATCTACTCTTCTTCTACCATAACTACATTACCAAGACAACCAATTCTTAGGTAGATATGCATAGTATTAAAATATACAAGTTCTACAGAACAAGCATCATATTCTTTAGGAGGATGACAAATGTGGAATCAAAGTGTCTTGAAATTCCAGTTAGATACACAAAAACTTTGCAGAGAGGAAGAGCCATCATGAGTTCAAAAAAACTAGGTATACTAGTAAGATCATATACTAGTAAGATCTTTTTCTTCAGAATATTATGGCGGTACAAATGATTTGGTTACGTAAATTTCTTTTGTACTATGCCCATCTCCCAGATACTGTGCATTGTACCCGTTAAGTGTGAATTTTTACCTTTTCCCTCCTCCCCCTTCCCACCCGCTTGATTTCTGATGAATGTTATTTCCATATATGTCTTTTGAGCTACTTCCTCA